ACAAGCCTACTTCACCTCCCCTTACCCCTATGCCGGTGCACCCTACGGCCAAAACAACCCATCCCCACACCCCTACCCTACAGCACCACCCTACCCGTCACCATCCACCAATCCCGTCGCCCACACCGCCGGTGCCAACCCCCCTTCCCCCACAGCTTTAGCCCACTACTTTGACACCCTCACCCTCCGTGATCCAAATTGGTACATGGACACCGGCGCCACCCACCACATCGCCTCGGACCCAGGTACTCTTTCTCATGTTCATAATCATTCTTTAAATTCATCATCATATATCACAGTGGGTAATGGTTCTAAAGTTCGCACTACGACCACTGGTAACTACGTCCAATATAGATACTGGAATGTCTTCATGGGAAGAACCAAAATGGAATGCAACCCTGGACGGAATTACATAAAAATGGTGTGTTTGGTTTAGAAATTTGATAGGGAAAAGAAAAAAAATGATATGGAAAGCGATTTTCTTGTTTGGTTAGTAATGAAGAAAAGAAAGAAATGTGGAAAGAAAAAAAGCGTGGAAAGAAAAGAAAATGACAGCAAAAACTACATGTCTACACCAAGAAGAAAGAAAACAAGTTCCCTTCCATTTGGTGAGGAAAAGGAGAGAAATATTTCCTTCCCAATTCCTCAAATCAAACATAGCATAAGTTTTCGACGTGAAACTTCACCAGAACTTAGGTGATTCTCTTACCCAATCACACATGTTATGAATTTTTTTTCCTAAGATTGTGCGAGGAAAAAAGAAATTAATTACTCTGGTAATCTGGTATTAAATAACAAACAATAATGCATTCTTAGACTTGAGCTAGGGGAATTTACGCTTGCAATTATCAATTACTTTGGGAGGGAATGACACAATGTTACTAGAACCAGCAGAAGGATTGACATATATAGTTAAATAAAGCATTGTCTGAGTTGCATGAGCAATAAATGTACTAACCTGAGTGTTCATTGGAGGTATGGTGTGGCATTTGAGGCTTCAAATAGATATCCAAACTAGGGGAAGAAGACACTTCTGCCCTTCTCTTGTTCTTGAACCTACCTAACAGAGATGTGAGAGGTTAAAAGAATAAGATGAGGAATTACTTATCTTGTTGGAAGATTGAAAAATGTTGTGAGCCACATTTTTTCTTAAATACGAAAGGGGATATGTGTAAAGTTTATTTCGGGACAGATAAAAAAAGAAAGTGTGAATTTAATTTGGAGATGATGGGTAAACAAGCAGTTCAGTGAGCAAGACCTGTCCTTTCGCTTCTCAAGGTATCTCTTTACTGAGGCCTTCCTACTTCCTGACCCCTCAACTGCTGGGAAAGATATAAAAAATACAAAACAAGAAACCAACTAATAAAAAATTGGTGTATCATGTCCAAATATTTAACACACATGTCACAGGAAAGGAAAATCATTCAGACAGAAGCTTGTAAAGCAGGGCAGCAGGCAATGTGGAGGACAGGTATCTTACTAAGCTTTAGGCAACTAAATGATACTATAAATTTCATGCTACTGACCCCAACAATGTTGGGATTAAAGTGACGATGAGAGGCAAATATTAAATATGATCCATCAAACAAGAAATTTATCTGAACCATAAAAAAATAGTTTGCTAAGGTTGCAAAAAGTACGAGAAGACTGGTGAAAAGATTACCGGGATTATCTTCATAAAATGGACCACTGTCTTCCATTTGTACATGAGAGTTGCCACTTTTTTTAACTGTAAAAGTTATTAAAAATCATTGATCACTGGATATCTAAATTTGGCAAAATGGACTTCCACCACACGCCCAACACCAAACCCCACAAGTCCAAGATAAGGAAGACTTGCACTTGTTTCCAATAAAGAAGGATCCAGGAAAAATTATTTGTTTACAATAACATTACCCGTATGCCTAGGCAAGAACACAAGAGAAGAATCTTGACCTGCTTCAACATCTGAAGGATGTAAGTGGGAAACTAAATGTTGTGCTGGACAGTCAGGAGGCACATGGATTGGGCTTCCAGCAAGATGCATGATTGCCTGTACCTGTTAGTACATGAGTTACCTATATCAGAAAATGCTTTCAATCATGTGGCATCAACAATGATCTATGCTTACTTAAAGTTTAATAAAGATTCACTACCTTATCAGCGGGTACATCATCATAGACATTCACCTGGCCACAATAGAAGATTGTCATTTGTCCGACCAGAATATCCGTTAAACCAGATATTATCCTGTAAAGTGACGTCATTAGCAATATCAGTTAAATGATCACCATGCTCTTGAGGGTGTGGAAAATGGAAAATTCAAAAATGCAAGTTCCACGAAATCACCATGCTCTTGAGTATGTGGAAAATGGAAAATCCGGATCTAACTTAAATGTGCCAGTTTATGCAACATGGTTAGACTGTGACCATCTTCCACAAAATCCTCATGCACTATTAAATGCAATGCAAATGATGATAGACACAACAAATTTATCAGTTTCATATGTTATTTTGCAAAATTCAGAATAAAGTAATTGTTAAGCCTGCACAAGCACAACATATTAGTGTGATGTGAACGCATTCTTTATAGAATATCCATCTCAACATGGAAATCTCAAACTATCAAAAAGTGGAAAACAACATTTTCTTATTGATAGAAGGGAAAAACGGGATAGAAAGAGAGAGAGAGAAAAGCCTTGCAGGGCTAAATACAATTAGAAAAAGAGCACCCAAAAAACTGCCAAGGCTAGCATTCTACTAAATTTTATCGACCAGCAACCTAACTTATTCTTTTACTCTACTGCCAAACAAATGCTAGTCCATATATGTTGTCAGGGCAAGTATAGAGATAGAAGTATGATTGAAAATTGTTTAGAAGATACAAATATTGTGAGCCATGCATAGGGAAAGCTGTGTGGGATTATGCTAGGTTGTTGTTATGCTATTTGGAAAGCTAGAAACGAGATGATTTACCAACAAAGGGAGATGAAGATTGAAGATTGCATCAAATTGAATAAATTTTAAGTGAACACGCATATTAAATATAAAGCAAATAGGGTAGCATTCTCTAGTTACTTTAACTGTATTTTGTGTGTTCTTGATGTAATGAGATCTGTTTAGAAGTTGCTGTTGAGCTAATAAAGATGTGCTTTGTTCACACACAAAAAATTGCTTGGAAACCCTTTTTTTATTTGATATCACGTTAGTTTGGTTCAGAACATGGTCAGGCCAGTTAAAAAGCCCACCTATAAATCAAACAATAGTGTTAATGCATCCCATTACTCCATCCATCATGCAGAAATTATATGCTCAAACCAACATTAAATGATTAAATACCTCATACAGTTGAACAATCGAACCTAAGTTGCAAATTTCTCCTTCAGTGAATTCTTTCAAAGTCTTTACCACATCTCAGTCTCACTCTCCGTATTTTTGAGTTGAATCCACATTCCATTTATGTCTTACATTCATATAGCTTGAATTCGATACTGAACAAAGACCCTTACACGTGTGTTATTGTAAAGAGTAATTTAGAACAAACTCAATTCCCCCTCTCACACACTCTGTGATGCTATCTTATCACATCCTATATCAACTCAATATATGATACAATAGTCACACATACACTTTATCCCCTCACACACTATTGAGTTGATGAAAATTACTCTCTCCATCACACTATTTTTGGGACATGAGAGAGTGACACAAAATATAGGAAAAGTAAAATTGTGTGCTTGTTACTCCTAACTTTATTGATGTTAAAAAGTAAGATGGAGTAAGAATGAATAGGAATTATACAAATATGACCAAATAGTTTTAAAATAGTCCAAAAGAAGTGGTCGGGACTCTAGGGAGGGAGCAACACGGTTGTGGCCAAATGCAAATATATAAAAATTCTAAGCGAATCAGTGGGTACACAAGGTATGGCATGCTGCATTCTCATTTCAGTTATTTATTCAAACCATGTGTATGCATAATCCATATAAAACAAGCTGTGACAGAGAAGGTTAACCTGGATTGAGCTGACTTGTTGGCAGCAGCTGCTGGAGGGGCTGGGGTTTGACCAGAAATATTAGGCTTCTCTACATCATTTCTACTGGTCCAAACAACTTCTTCTGCAGAATCTGAGATTTCTGCTTCGGCAACAGCTACTTGCGGGGCCTGCTTTGCCTTTGCTCATTAGCAAAATAACAAATTATGCATTTACTCGTAGACAACATTGAATCCATAGCTGGAAAACTCTATATGCCACCTAAAGTGAAAACCTTTTTTTTTGAAAGACCAAGAATGAAAAGTTAAAAAGGCTGAGAATGATCGAATAAACGCACACGG